AGGCAGAAACAGGAGTTAGGAGGGGTAGAGGTAGACCTAGATTAGATTACTGTTCGCAAATAGTTAAGGATGTGGGCTGTTCTAGTTTTAGGGAAATGCGAAGTTTAGCTCAGGATAGGAAAGAGTGGAGGTACGTGTCCAACCAGTCTTAGTACTGATGACCTTATGATGATGATGAATCGTTTAGCATCGGGTTATCTGATTTCTCGAGATCTACGTACGATCTACAAAATTCAGTCTTTCTTTATTAATTAGCAACAAAATGATTAAATTAGAACCCAAGATCGGATTAAACGAATATATTATGTGTTTGCGGGCATGATATCACGGAGGCAAATCATCTGATTGATCTACAGCCTCTATAAATTATCTACAAAATATAACCCGAGATCGACTGAAATGAATGTTATGTGATCATTCGATTTGTCGAGATCTACAGGCTCTACAAAAATTGTTTTTTTTACTATAAAACTGTAAGTTCGGATACTTACTGTTCACCAAACGTATAAACTGAATTAGTTTTTTTAAATTTTACTATTACGTGAGAAGTTTTTGGTATAATAGAATTTAATAAAAATAAGTTTAACTAGTTTTTATAGTCAACATAAAAACTAAATTGTTAACTAGTTGCTGATAAACATAAAAATTCTATTGATGCATATTGTTTTATCGTACATAATATAGTACATAGGTATAACATCTTATTTAACAATTCATAATGTTATCAGTTAGTTAATACAGGACTGGGCTTGATTCCTTTTATATCTACTAGTCTATCGTTTATTTTTTACCTATATTTAAATTCATATTATAAAATGCTTGTAATTGAATTATCTTTAATGATTTAATTCAAAATGCAGAAGATGTATGTAACTACCCGTATAAGATACTAAGTAATATCCGTGGCTTCGCTCTTGTTAATGTCCTAAATACATATCAGAGATCATTGACGACTGCATAAAACCAATTTTCTTATCCTTTCATAAAAAATATTTTTCTTCTGGATAAAAGGTATCCTGTATCCTTTTTTGTACCTCTGGTAATGTTTGTACAAACTTTCATGATGATCGGTTGAATAGTTAGGGTGTGAAATAGTAATAAACAAACTCATATTCGCATTTATAATATTAGTTGGGATTAGGATTATACCCCTAGGAACATATATTTATTGTCAGACTGACGTGCCTGGCTGAGCATATTTTTAAGAAATATGTGAGTTTTACTTTAACATTAAAATATGTTTTTAAGTGGTTTATAGCTCCCGAAAATTCCTCCTAATTACCTAACACCAATTGTTATTATTAATTATTATTTTTTATGTGAAGTACCTATTGTGAACATCAGGGGCGCAATAATGTTACAGTTTGACTGGGTGCTCCCATCATGATACTATAAATGACTAAAAATTAAATTAAAATACTGGAAAAGATCGAATTCGGCTACTCATTTACGAACTTGAACTATTTGAACCGAACTTTCAAGTCGGGTTATTATCTGAATCGACTGGAATTGACTGGGTGCCCGGGCACCCGTGGACCCCCCCTGTTGCGCCCCTGATGAACATAATAAAACCTAGTATAAATTTAGGATACCTAAGAACAAACTTTCGCATCCATGAATAATTTTCTGTTGTTTTTATTTTTTATTACCCACTTCTTATGTGTGACACCGTTTTTTTTATGAAACAAAATTTTCTGCTGGATTTGCTTATAAAAAATGCTTGCAAATAAATTGTGGCCGAACGATGATATCATTATCATTATAATTTTATATTTCATTACATTGCTACTGTCACATGAAAGTACATGAGGTCACATACCAATGTTTTTCATAAAGAGGTTTGTAAATGTATGACGGAGATCTAACATAACGACTGTAAGATAAGGATAGAGTAGGATGAAAACATTTTAATTAACGAAAGTCCACTTTTAACCACCTGCTCTTGAGAAAGTAAATTGCAATTATCAAAAACTAGGTTGCTGCTTATCTAGCGCCTTTCAATTATAATCGAAATCAAGAAGTACGTACACCATTAAATAGGGGAATGCGTAAAACTAATTGTAAATAAAACTTTACATGCATAATGAAACTTACACCTACGGGAAGAGAATACTACAAACGAATTAAAAAGTGACTGTCAAAATAGTCCAAAAATTGCCAGTTTTCATGCTCTCAAATTTTGTTTTAAACTAAGTTCTAAATGATTTATTATTAATGATGAGATCATGCTAAATATAAAATTTCAATATGAGCCTAATCTGTTTGGTTTCCTAGATATGAAGAATTGAAGTTGTGATATGCGTGATACAATGTAGGAGCGTATCAAAAAATACACAGCCCCATTATGGGCGAGAATGGACGTATCTTCTTTCTTGTTTCCTCTTGAGACTGTAGTCATTTGCTCCGTTTTGAATACGCCCTTGTTAAATTAGGAAATGCTTTATGAGTCCCTAGTACAGACAAAGTGAAAAGAGATAACTGAATAATAGACCTGAAAACCCTAGCTAATGAAGTTTCTCCAGTGTGACACAACGATTGCAAATAGGGAGTTTCGTAACGTTCTACTATATAAAGGTCTGCCTATGTCCATAAGAGTGACTAAAGGGACTTGTAAAGTGTTCCGTAAAAAATACGTTAGCAATTAATTATTGTTCTGATAACGAACATTACAATTGCCAACAGAATACAATGTAAGAACTTACTGATCCGTATGAGCATTTGGCTACTCCTACAGAGCTTTATGGAAGTCCTTATTGACTCCTACAGCCACGTATATATCAGAAACTAAACATATACCTACTCTTCTTGAAATTTAGTATCCAAAATTCATCAAACAATCATTTAGCTCTTACGATTGGTTTAGAACAAAATTTGAGGGCGAGAAAATGGTCCTTCTAAGTACCTATAGAAATAAAATTATGGGAAAATTCTGTTAAACCAATGCCTCATATCTTACGGATTTTATTTAGGGAGGTCAGACCAGCTGTAGTTGTCAGTATTCGCAATTTTTTTATTTCAAAATATTAGGTATACAGTGTATATTATTAATTGATAATATGTAATAATGCCTAATAGTGAATTCCAACTTCCATTTTTTACAAATGAAGACGTGTTATAAATAATATTATATTTTATATTTAGTGGTACATATTACATGTTAACATTTTGTTTAATCCCATAGCAGTGCATAACTAGTAAATATCCTAGCTTAATTAAATTTAGTTTTAAAGCTATGTCCTGGCCTGTATTTTTCTGTTTACCATTATTCTCTTATCATTCAAGGTGCTCCACGTGATTAAGAGGAGTTCACCGAAACCTCGGCGACGATGTCGCATCACAGCGACGACAACATGCTCATCGCCACGAGCGACTCCTTCTGGGAGCCGGGCAACTATAAAAAAACGACAAAAAGAATCGAAGACGGCTATCGACTTTGCGGCGACTTGATCACTCTCGTGAACGAAAGAGCCGAAATCGAAAAAGCATACGCGAAAAGTCTTAAGGCGTGGTCGAAAAAGTGGAATGACCTTATCGAGAAGGGCCCAGAATACGGGACCACGGAAGCAGCATGGAAGGGTGTCCTGGGTGAGGCCGATCGGCGATGTGACGTCCACAACAGGGTCAAGGACAACCTTTGCAACGAGGTCATTCCAAAAATTAAGCACTGGCAAAAGGAAACGTACCACAAGGTATGGAAACAAATCTTATCTCAACTTGTTATCAGTGTTTACCATTTTACAATCAGTATTAGTTATTTACACAGGGTGAACGCACACCCTTGTAATGTTTTATGCTGAATTATTTTTTCATACATAATTTTTTGTATGTATCTAACTAATGTAAGTGAATTTATGAACAAAAGTTCTCTCCATCGAACACGACTGGGGGGATCGGGGATTTATATTAGGAAAGGCACAACAGCAACGGGGAAATATCGATTTATAAGGCCACTTAGCATTATTTTCTACTAGCGAAGATTTAGTTTGTTCACGGTACACAGCGGCCTAGCACAATTAATATGCTGTTCACATTATGCGGGGTTTCCGTTATGCTATATTCATACTATCGCGAGTCTACTGTAATTCTAGTGGATCCGATTTTCGGAAAATCCCATTAAAACAGCTGTAATTTTTTGCTATTCAATATTTGTTTTACAATAAATTTCATGAACATAACTTCAAAACTTGATTAAGAGTTCAACATTAAATGATATTTTTTTTGTTAATATGATTTGGCAGAATATTTTTGTAAAAGTGTACGACTCGCTTAGTTACGAAATTGTGACATTATCGGCGTGCATACGCAATTTTTTAATTTTTAGGTTCATTTAGTCGTAATTCCATAATTAACAAATGTAAAATTGATGTAATTTACCAATTGCATAGTTTTTTCCCTACTGCAAGTATTTTAGAGCTAAGCTTTATTCGCTGCTACTTCATTTTACTTAAAAAAGAATACATTTCAACTGCAATTATAAAGTCGCAACACAACTACAATTCCAATCAAAAAAAGTAAATATATCTTCCTATCGAAATTTACGAATGTTGAAATATTTAACTTTATCAAAATGTGGTACCTAATACCTACTCGTTAAACCATGTATTTATGATGTAAATGTTAAAAACAAATATTTGGTAGAAATCTCAAATTATGCAAGTAAATATTCTTCAAAACGTCCTTGTAGTGGGTGAAGTAATAATAGCAATCTGTTTGATTGTTAGTCTCTATCATAAATCAGTTTTACTCAAAATTCAGTTTTTATGTTGCGCGTATTTAAATGACGGCAAATCAAGTTCAATTAGGTTACGGTGTGAAGCAGTCCTTATTCATATTTGTGAAGTGCAATGGATTTTGGGCTTACATACGTTACGTAAGTTATGGTGACACAAGATTCCCGGATTACCTTGCGTGAAGTGCTATACACTAAGAGCTTGGATTAGGTTATAATCGAAAAAGTTTTCCTCTAGCTCTATATAACGTTGCCACCGTTTTCCTATCCCTGCAAAACAACATTCGAAGCCTTTACAGTTATGAGTTCTGACCTCTTCTATAGCGCCGTGATGACTATCCTTGAGATGGAATTTCATTTTTGGGGAGAGAAAACAGTCGCTAGGGGCTAAGTCTGGATTGTTGGGGGACGCGGCAACGTGGGAGATCCTTTTTGGTCAAATACTCGCGAAAAATCAGCGAAGAATGCGTGAGGCAATTGTGGTGATGAAGAATCAAGCCTTTAAATGCGTTCAATCAACCGCTTCCGGTCGCCAATATAAAAAAAAAACTATCCGGTCACTCGTAGTGGGTAATACCTTGAATGCCTGAATATCGCAATAAACGATCAGTTTCTCCTTCATCACCTTGAATGCCTGAATATCGCAATAAACGATCAGCATCTCCTTAGTCACCTTGAATGCCTGAATATCGCAATAAACGATCAGTTTCTCCTTCATCACCTTGAATGCCTGAATATCGCAATAAACGATCAGAATCTCCTTCATCACCTTGAATGTTTGAATATCGCAATAAACGATCAGCATCTCCTTAGTCACCTTGAATGCCTGAAAATCGCAATAAACGATCAGAATCTCTTTCATCTTGAACTTGCTTTCGTTGGCCGCTTTTCCCCTATTTCCACCCACTGGTGATCCAGAGGTTTTGCGATTAGATAAAAGCTGGTCCCCATACACATTTCCAATTCACGGAGGATTTGAGACGATTTTTCGTCTGATTTCACTTAATATTGTATCACGACCTGTTATTTATGATTGGAGTCATTGATTTTTGCGACGTCACTGAAAACCTTACGAAAAAAACGAAGAAAATAGATAAAACGTGAACGAAAAAGAAAAAAAAGGTTTAGTGTTTATAGCTATAACAATGTAAGTTCGAACCCTGTATTTTGTTAGGTATGGAGCAAAGATAGATGTTAAGAATATAAAATTTTGGATCTGGATACAGATACGGATATATGAATAATATTATACCGGCTTCAGGTATAGTTACGGATATGAAATTATTTGGAATTATTCGATAGTTTCGTATAGTTTTAGTTACAGATATGAGATTTTTAAGGAACTATAAAAGGGAAATACAAGTAGGACATGATTTAGCTCTAGTTTTAAGTTATTATTTGATAGTACAACCTCAGAAAAAACAATTACCATTATAATTTCAAAATTATTCGAATCTTTTATATCACATTCGGTTACGGTTTCGGATGGATTTTTATTTCCGATGTCGGATTGTTTTGGTTACGGTTACGGAGATCCATAACGTTCCTGGTAGGAAGTTATAACTAAATTCACGGAATTTAATTTCCACATCTCGTATATATGGTGGGTAAGTCAGAACCTATTATCTTTGACAAATGACCGGGACCTACTTACTGGTTATATACACGGAGAAAACTAAATGTTTAAGACAATGCAAAAATTACAATTTTAGATTGTAAATGACTGAATCTGCCGTAGAAATAGTAGAATTTATTAGGTAACTTGCAATTATCTCAATTTTGATGTTTTTTTAAAAATTGTTTCAAGTTTCTTAATTATTACAATTTAATTTGTAATATCAACTAAAGTACCTAAATTACTAAATGTATTTCTGCTGGGATTTTATTTGAAAAATTCTGGTCCAAATTGTAATTTTTATTATTTTCGTTTACGAAGGAACGAGCTAGTGGGATAAACCGTAAATATCGTTTTAATATTTAGGTAAATTTTCCTTTTTCATTTTCTCCATGTATTGTCTATAGTCAAGACCCAAAATACCTGACGATATTTGTGCCTTACTATAACTACACATTTATTTTGCATTTAGAAAGCATAGGAAAGTTTGGGCTACATACTGTCAGAATTACGTTTTTGAATTATAACACGTACGTCTACAAGGCTAAAGCCTGCTATTTTAGTACTTTTATCGCTTTACAAAAAAAAGTGTATGTACAAATACCTTACATTACATTTTTGGTTGCATGCAGCAAAAACGACGATGATGATTCGATAATGGGTATATACCTTAAAATGGTACGTTATATACACTCATGTAACCCAATTGGCTTATTTAAATATAAAAATATTTAAAAACCGCAAGATGTTTCAAATTAAAAAAAAAAAACGAATAAATTATGTGGCAATTCAAAGAAAATAATCTACGTATACATATAATACGGTGTCTACGGATCCTTGATTAAAATTCAAAACTGACAAAAATGTTGCTATATCTATAGTGTAAATTTCGACTGACTACCATAAAAGTTTGGGTTGAACTTAACATCATTTTCATTATTAAAATTAAAATTAAAAACTACACTATATTTAAAATTACGGTGTAAAAGTCATCTTTGGCTAAAATCAAGATATTGAGAATGTTTTTTCGTTACAGAAAGTTTAGGATAATAAGGTGTACTTGTAAAGTTAATACAGTTTTTCATATTTTGTAGTTTACTAGGTTTTACACGCGGATTCGCTTGTATTGATGTCCTACGTAAGTGTCAAAGATCATAGACGACCACATAAAACTAATTTTCTATCCCTCTTGAACTGTATTTGTTTTTTTCTGGATAAAAGGTACCCTATGTCCTTTTCCGTACCCCTGACAATGTGTGTACAAAATTCCATGGTAGGTTTTATGCGCAGCTTCGCTTACGTTGATGCTATTTTTTTTATCCCTTAGTAACAGTATTTTTTTCTGGATAAAAGGTCCTTTTTCGTACCTGTTACAAAGTGTGTACAAAATTTCATGATATTCGGTTAAGTAGTTAATGAGTGAAATGGTAGCAAACAAACAAATAAAATCACATTGTCATTTATAATATTAATTAAAATAAGCACTTTCATTGCAGAAAGTTTCAAAGTTTATACGTTTTTTTTTTTACTTGTTACCTTAAAATGTTATGAAAATAAAATTAATGTTTCAAATTAAAAATCATGGAAGAACAATAATAATCAAAGGGGCACTTCTTAAGTTTCATTTAAAAAATCAAGGCTTTGCTTTTTGAAATTGTTGCTGCAGTTTGGAGGGTAAACTTGTATCATGAACAAGCCCACGGATGTCTTCTTAAAGTAGATATTGGTTTAATAATTTTTAAACTTTAAGGTAAAGTTTATTTTCTACCCTATTTAGATTACCTCAAATTAATGAGTAAAAAATTATTGCTGTCACGTCCTCGCCGGGAATAGACATTACTGTCCTCCACACTTATTTTGAATCTCATCGCGTTTGGCTAGACTTTAATTTCCCTATTATCCTGCTCATATTTATTGTCCACATTAGCTGTGGAGTAACACTGAGATTACTTCTTTTGTTCGTTCTTTCTCAACTTTTTTTTTGTCGTTGTTAATCTCTTACGACATGGCATTGTGTTCCAACTTTTTTTTTTGTAAATTAGAAGGCTTGGGAAGCAATTCTTTTATCACGAATTGATATCGATTCGCGACTTATTTTACCTTGACCTATTTGCCTGAACACAATCCGACTCGTAACTCTTCATCACGCCTTAAGTATCATGAAGACAGCTAGTTGAATCCTTTTATAAGTATACAGGGATACAGGTTAATGCATTTATATATGTGTACGTAAAAAAATAAAAACGAGCAACGTCCTTGTAAAATCAATAAAAGGTGACTAAAAAATAAACAACATTTTTGAATAAACGCCTTATATGTATACATAGAGAAATGGATAAATGTGT